ACTTTGGTTAACCGAAGGCTCCGGTTGTAGATTCTCCAAGAAAATTCACCCGCCTTGGCCTGAGCAACCTGCCAGTGTTTAGCCCACATGCAAATGATGGAACGTTTTTCTTTTTCATAAAGATTATTGTATTATGATTTGCTAGGCACACTGTCTGGATTCAGACGTGCGTGAAAATATAAAATATATATGCGTAAAATAATATAAAGGAACAGAGTTTACAAAAAGCAAGCACATATGTGGAACAGGAAAGAAAGATTAATTGGCAGTCATTTTTGTTTCCATCGCACAGAATTTGCACATTTTTACATTTCTTTGATGAATTTCATGATGTAGAGATATCAACATGCGTGGGTGTTAGAAACTGAAACTGAGTTTTAGTTGTTTCAGACATTTGTAGTTTTTACAATGCTGCCTGACACCAAAGTTCGGTGGCGGTGGCGCGGCTTTTATCTAGGACTATACAGTTCAAAGTACGCCGGTGACAACGACTAAACCACTGCGCTACCAACACCCAAGCAGTATCAATGTGAGAACAGAAAACGCAAGCTGACTAAGGTTGTCAAGCAACGAGTAGATTCAAAAGTGTCACTGTTTACGACAATTATTACCTACTGATCTTGAGGTTTCCATCCAGGGAGCCTAGTGCGACCTATAGGACCGAGTTTCCTCGTCGGGGTTTCGTACTCACATGTGAGGTCTTAGTCTGATCACTCTTTACTTTCATCCATCCACTACGTGCCTCAAAAAACATTGCACACCGTCGTAGTCTATTGGATGACACATGTAACACACATGACCCAGGTAGCGTAATCTATAGCGGTCGATCACTCACTCCAGTGCACCACTGTGAGTAGCTGAAACTCGAGGCCAATTCGGTATCCTCGGCAAAAACTCAAAAAAATATTGCAACTTGGACAGTGGTGTTCGAACACCAACAGCCTGCCTTTGTCCTGCTATGTAAAGCAGCATCAGTTGAAATGCGATAATATCATGCCTGATCTTTCACAAACAGCTGGATGTCGTCGAGAAGACGCCTTCGTTCGTTCAAATCAGTCGGTCAAACGGAAACGGGCAACCCAAAGAGCCGCATTGGGATGGAGAAGAGACGCAAGTGGGACGGTGGTGATGGGATCTGTGTGCACAACCTCCGTATTCATAAACTGGTGATCTTAACCAGAACTGATCACTGTTTGCCATAAACATCGATTGTGAACATTTACAGGTGGTGGTGTCGCAGTCACTGGCGTGCTTTGGATCCTATCGTCCGAGGTTCAAGTCCCAACACCACCACCCGACTTTGGTGGTAGGCAGCTTTGCTGTCATTCCACACCTATCCGGGCCTTATGTGGTTCGTAACTCCAAGCCCCGGAGCTTAGATTACTGTTTTCCATGACGGGGCAGCACGTCTTTGTGACTATGGGGTTCACCCGTCTGGCGTTCACCACACAAATGTGTGTATTGAAAAAAATAATCGCTGTGCATTGTGGAAAACCTTGAGTTGAATTGTGTGAAAAGATAAGCACCCGAATTTTCCCAAAACAACAAACAAACTCGTCCACTTCTTCTGCCCTACAAAATACTATTGCAGTTCATGATGAATAACCAATACTTAGTACTATTACTACTACTACTACAAAGACGCGTTTCAGTTGGGTCGTTGACTTTCAGCCATCCGTCTAATGAAGAAGTCAAAATCAAGTCCAGTTGGGCCTTATACACTTTCTACCCGTTACAATAAAAACATGTACATTGAATGACCGGTAAATGAAAAACAAATGGATGTGATAAAGAGCCAATGTGGGGGGAGGGATAATCCAATTCAACAATGACAGTTGCTCCATTTAGGAACATACGAGCAAGGGATGATACCGTTTCGGTGTGCGATGGGTTACTTGTAAGAGGCATCTAATATACTTGGAACGCGTACTCCAGATGAGACAGATTTATTGGAATGGGCGTGCAGGTAGTGTTGTTCATCTGGCAGTAGTATGTGGTTGGTAAGTCTATCAAACGATTCGAAACGCTTGTACACGAATATGAAATCAACCAAAATGGTCTTGGCAACGGCAACAACGGTAATAGTTGGCAGCACAACAGTGCACAACATGAGAGAACCAGGTCAATGCAATGAGCAAGTATATATATACACACACACACAGACGTCCTTTAGGGCACTTGGTATTCTCTTCCAACTAACTCCAATCGTGGATTGGATTCATCTCGAAACATAAAGATGGGTGGTAGTGGCGAGGCTCGAACTCCAGACCATAGGGTCCAAAGCACGCCAGTGATAGTGACTAAACTACTGCGCCACCATCACCGTCCCTCGGCGGATACTTCGAAAGATGGATTCCGCGAGGACATCTCTTGGGATGAAAACGGGGTATCACTCGACCTCGGAGAGACTGGAGCTGCTTAAGGGTGTTATCACTTGTCGTCTTTTCTCATTTATGATACGTCGTTTGTTGTGAGTTGGGTAAATCCAATAGGGAATTTCAATGTTTCGAATTCTCTGCTGTTGTCAGCCCTCTCAGAATGAACGATTAAAGTGAATCAAACGCGGTGTCGCCCACAGCATATCTCCTTGCTCCGCCTATGTTCTTTGAAGCAGCAATGTGGTGGTTAGTTTCAAGACAACAACAAGAATAACAAGAATGTTCACGGTGAAATTAAACCAATCCTACGAATTCGCCTACTAAATCACATCATGGGTTTGTGGTTTTCACAAATCACCATCATTATCGTACAGCGAAATACAGAGAAGCGAACTACACTGATCGCTGCCAAACTCGCAATGCATGTGCACTGGGGTTTGATGGACGGGTACTGCTAGGATGTCCAGTCACTAAGCAGGAGAACGATTAGGGTTCTTAACCAAAAAAGCCTCTAGTTCTAACAAGAACCTAACAGCAAGGCAGCCGATGAAGTGAAGTGGAGGCCCATTTGCTTGGATCGATTACTCTTCCACAATTTTTTACCGACTGTAACGCAAATTCCAGTCGAACCCCCAACCTGTAGGACCAGGAGACTGGATTTCGTCTAACCTCTACCCATTGACCTTCCAGGCATGATTAGATCTCCTGCCTTGACAAAAGCCATCCTGTGTAGCTCGTTTGGGTCAGGGAGATGCACAAGCCATCACACCACGTCAAGGTGTAGCCTCGTCATAATGGGAGGCTTAGTATGCAATCTAAGATCAATTCCAATGATCCACGTTTTCACATTTTGGTATTTGGTCATGGTCTGTACACACTTTTGACATTTTTCGATCCAATAAATGATTTGGGGAACATTACTTGTTGACCAAATCCATTTGGAAGTATACAACACTGTTCCAGTCATCATAATCGATGAGGACGCAAAACTAGTGCAAGTGTGTCCCGGGCCCCAAGGTCAGAGGTTCAAACCTAGTCAACACCGACCAACGGTAGACAGTTCGTT